TGTATGAAAAGTGAATTTACTCTGTAAATCTTCACCCAAATCCTAATAAAATAAATAAATAAATAAATAAATAAAATTATCTTTAACTCCTAGGAAAAGAGCACAGGTGTATTAGACATAACAGTTATTCAAAACCCCAATGAATAGTACAAGTGAAGCTCATGTTCTATAGATTCAAATGGACTTTAAAAGGCAGCAGCTCAGGCCGCAGCACCCTGTGGCCTGGGGGATCCAACAAATGAGATCCTAAAATGGCTGGTTCCAGGCGGTATTTAGCTGCTAAACAACTTCAGGGAAGAACTTCTATTCATGACCCAACCTCCTTCCTGCAGAAGTGATGAGATGGAGGCAAAAGAAGCTGATGCTGCAGCCACTGCCCGTAAGGTGGCCAGAGAACAGTAAAGCTGCCCCTCAAGGCAGGGCATCACCTGCACACTAACCCCTAGAGGTGAGCAGAAGCAGAGCTGGAATCCAGTAACTGGATCATCCGCCTGGTGGAAAACGTCAGGGAACAGGTGCAGCAGTACTGCCACAGCTAACACAAAAGCAGCCACCACCAGCAGCTCCTAACACCCCCCTGGGGGCATCCCTGGGTCCTCACTATGCCCTCCCGAGGGCATGCCTGGGCCTCCACCAAGCTCCCAGGGTTACTCCTGCTCCACTGAGCTGGGGCGGGAGAGGTAGTGCAAGGTTACCTTACCTCCAAAGTTGGCCAGGCGGCCAATCCGAGTAACTGGCACCTTCCGTTCCCGAGCACGCTCACTGAGCTAAAGAAGAGAGAAGAGACCCCATGGCATCAGGAAACAGGGCACTCCCCACCCACAAAAGGAGCAGCTCTGCCTCAGCACACTCCCCACCAAGTGGGCTCCCATTCCTAACACCCCCAGACCATGCTATCCACCCAAGAGGAGCCCTAACAGAGCACCATGCAGGACTGCCCAGCCCCGCTCAAGCCTCCCTGATATACCATCTGTTTGTGGGGCTTGCCCTCAGGGCGGGCCTTGGCCTGCCGGGCCTTTTCGATGTCCTCTGCCGTGAGGCCCCCCATGGGGGACTGGTCCTGGTGGAAGAACCTTCGCTGAATGCCCATGACAGAGAATGGGTCTTGGTGCTCTGCAAAGAGCTTCCCATTCACCCTGCCCAGAGGGGAGGCGGCTTCACTGAAGTGCCTGCTGGCTACGTAGGCAGGAGCCGGGCCCTCTTTGCTGTGGGTCTGGTCCAGGGGCAGTGGCGATGAATGGTCAAGGGAGGAGGCGGTAGGGATATCTGCAGAGTCTCCTGTTGCTTGTGCCCCTGAGAACTGATCTGCCTCCAGGTTGTCGAAGCTCCCACCATAAGGCTCTTCCTGTTTGTCCTGACCCTGCAGGGAACAAATAGTGCTCAGAGGAGAAAAGGGGGGCAGTCCACCCCTCCCACTCTGCACAAGGCGACACCACTGCTGCTCCCTTAGCCTCTGAGGGCAGATACGATGCTGCTCCTGGCCCCGGAGCCAGGAGACCAGACTCCAGTCTTACTTCTGCAGGCTCTGCTGTATGGTCCCCCACAGCTAACCCAACACAACCAGTGAACCCTGTTGTAAGCCAAGCTGGGGCAGGTGAGATGAACTAATAGGGACTAAAAGTAAACTAAAGCCAAAGACCAGGGACAGTTAAAGGGAGACACGTGGACTGGGGATCCCAGCACACACTCCAGGCAGGCACCATACAGCAGACACTCCTTTCCACTGTGGCACTCAGAAAGACTCTCACAGGACAGCTTATCACATCAGGACCATGCCTGGCTGCCCAGGATCTCAGGGTACTGAGGACGACAGTGAGAGGTTGTTATAGGTTGAACTGTTTCCCAAAAATATATGTATTGAAGTCTTGGCCCCTTGTACCTGTGGATGTGATCGTATTTGGAAACAGGGTTTTCTATGTTATGTTAATTAGGCTATACCATTGTAGAGTGGGTTCTAAACCTAATCACTTCTAAGTTATAGAAAGAGCAGATCAGACACAGAGATACACACAAGGGAAGAGAGATAAAACAGATGCCATGCCATCTACAAGCCCAGGAACACCAGAAACTAAGGAGAGAGGCCACAGAAAGAATCCATACGGTTAAGACCCAGATTGGAAGCTCTGGTAGTGTAGTGCATAAGGCACTTGACTGCTAACCAGAAGGCTGGTGGTTCAAACCCACAGCCACTCCTCAGAAGGAAGGTTGGGCAATCTACTTCCATAGTGAGACCGCCTTGGAAACCCAAGGAGGGGTCACTATGACACAAGACCCAGATTTGGACTTTTAGCCTCCAAAACAGTGAGAAAATAAATTTATGTCTTTAAAGCCATCCACATGTGGTATTTGTTTTGTTATGGTCACTTTAGGAACCAACACGAGGGGTGTACCATTCTTTCTTTCTAATAGTCACTGAGGTCTCACTCTTGAACCCTCAATGACCTTGACTGAGTTTGCTGGCCCTCTCTGCTACCTCCTCATCTGAAAACAGGGCTCCCTAGTCACAGAGTTATGTGGGACCAGAGAGGATGACCTATCTGAGCCAGGGAAACAGTGCCAAAGAGGCTATAATTAGAAGAGTGTAGATTTCTGAAGAGAGGTCACTGGCCTGGACTCACTGATTCACTGATAGGTCCCAATGCCCACAGTGACCCTGTACTGTACTATGTGCTGCCACAGGTCACACAAACACAGCAGGACCCACTCACTCAGCTATAAATGCATCATGGAATCTGAGCAGATAAAGACTTGCCATCTGTGGGAAAAGAGAGACTAGCTGTCACTCTCATTTCACAAATAGGAAACTGAGGCTGAGCAAGCTGAAGTAATTAGGTCAAGGCCTAAGCCTGCAAATGGCAAAGCAGGGATCAGATCCGAGGCTGGACCTGCTGGCAACTGCAAAGGTGCCTGACTGTACTTTTCTCTGAGCAGGAACAAAACATATTTTGATCTGTTGGGTATCTCTCAAGACCTGCAGGGTAACCCTGGAATGAGGAAGTCTAGGGTGGGGTCATGTGAACCACTGGCAGGGCCCCTCTGCTCTGTACTACCCATGACAGCCACCTGGCTCCACAGAACCATCACCTAGTGATATGGCTATGACACTCCATGGACTCAAATACTTGAAGACCTCGAGTGAGACAGGTCCCTGGAGTTGTATGACACTCCACTCCCTTAGGAAGAGGGGAGGCAGTGATACTGTAAATGTTTAGGGAATGAGTGGAAGCAAACTGGAAACCATCACACTGCTCATGTGCTTCCTTCACGGTGCTGATCATCACCCCAAATGAGTGACTGCTAGGGATCAGTCCTTCCCAGGCCCCCCAGAGGCCTGGGCCTGCACAAGCAGCGGGGAGGGAAGAAGAGGGAAGGGAGTCTGGGCAACAGGCCCCTCTGGCCTCTCAGGGAGGAGAGCTGCCCATGGCCCAGCACACTGTCTCGCTTCTGGGCAGCCCCAGATGAGCTAGGCAGTCTCATTTCCTGAGTTTTCCATAGGCAAAGCCCCCAACAGGAAGGCAATGGTTCTTTATTAGCAAAGGCATCAAATGAGGCAGCCATGGCTATAACCCATCCCCGGAGACGAAGGGTAAGATCAGAGGTCTGAGATCAGTCTCGTCATTTAATAACCACAATCATCAAACTGCTTAGACTCAGTTTCCTCCTCTGAGAAATGGGTAGGAGCATCTGGCCCTGCCCCTGCCAGGGCAGAGGAGACACATGGATGAGAGAACAGAAGTGAAGACTTCCAGAAACGAAAGCAAGCTCTTCATTGCCACTAACCCCTCAGAAAGCAGCCCCATGATAGGGACCAAAAAAAAAAAAAAAACAAACCTCACTGACATCGAGTCAATTCTGACTCACAGCAACCCACACTGGGTTTCCAAGGCTATAAATCTTTACAGAAGTAGGCTGCCACATCTTCCTTCCACAGAGCGGCTGGTGGCTTTGAACCACCAACCCTCTGGTTAACAGTCAAATGCCTTAAGGCACTAAACCACCAGAGCTCCTTTGATAGGGAGGGGCCTAGAAATCCTAAACTGGGATTGACCAGAGACCTGAGGATATGATGCTTAGAGAAGTATTTAAGTCTTTGTCTAGAAGGTTAGCCAACCACAGAACAGAAAGGGAAGGTGTGAGGAGGAAAGGGCACCCCCCTGTAAAGCAACTCCCAGCATACACACACACACACACAGAGATACACATACACAGAAACACACACAGACACACATGCAAAGACCCACAAACACGTGCACATACACACACACCCGCTTATCCCCATGGGCTATCAGGAAAGTTGTTGGCAACTACACAGGGTGACACTCAGGTGACAGTGCCCTGCTACAGCAATCCCTGTTCACTATCACCTCTCTAGCATTCTTTGGGCTTAAAACTTTTCCTATGGATGGCAACATGTAGAAGCTTTCTGGATCATGATACAAAAGGCAACACTGTCTCCTAGTCAGCAGCAAGGACAAGAGGAGGCCAGACATGAAGGGGCCCTTGGTAGGACTGTGTCAGCTGCCACCTGGGAAAGAGTAGAGCCCCAAGCTAGTGTCCAGATATCCTCAGCAAGACAAAGGAGAATAACGGGGCCCATTTTCAGCCAAGAAGACATAACAGGAACAGTCTGGGAAGCCCGGCCCAGGCTGATGAACACATGGGTTCCTATGAGTAGCTCAATGTTGAGAATGAGATGTCGACAACCCAAAACGCACAGAAGGTAGAAGAGAAGCTAGATGACTGCGACCTTTTAAAAATTAAATTCTTATGCTCATCGAAAGACTTAGTCAAAAGGGCAAAAAGAGAAACTACAGATTGGGAGAAAATATTTGCCTGTGACATACATGATAAAGGACTTATCTTCAAGATCTATATAGAAAACTTCAACACCTCAACATCAAAAAGACAAACAGGAGTTCCGGTAAGATGGCAGACTAGGCAGAAGGACTGCACAGACCCTCTTCAACAAAGATAAGAGGAACCAATTAACACAGAAGATAATCCTGGACCCCTGAAGAATACAGAGATACACACACAGTGTTTCTGTGTATGTGTATCTCTGTGTGTATCTCTATATTCTTCAGTGGAAGAATATATATAGAAGTGGATAAAACCCCAACTAACAGAAGAATTTGCATGAAAATACCAAAAGGAGACATATGGAGCTGCGGTCTGGCAGTGACCCTGAGTGATACTGATGGCACGGCACAGACAGCTTGGAGATTGCCGAGTCTGGTAGGACCTAAGAATTAACCTAAAAATCAGCCCTGCTAGCCAAGGACTGCTCTGGTGGCTGGTGAATAAAAGGAGAAGCAACGAAGAGAAGGGCGGGCTGAGCTGTACGTTTTCGCCTGTCCGGAGGGCGCCGACATCTTGAATGTTTACAAGCAGCTTGACCATTTTGGATATTTAAAGACATAGTACTCTCCCAAATTCCAGGGGCTTAAGAACAGGTTCTGTTTGCCAATATCCCCAAGGACACTCCAGACCTGGATGATTGAAAACGTGCGATATTCCCCTTGTTACTCTTATACCCCACAGCCCTTGGTGAACGGAGGTGCGGCCATCCCCCACTCCCACCCACCTTCTGGGCCTGCAGGAACTCCATCCCACTCTGTGTACTCTGACAGAGCCTGGGTACACTGCCCTGCACTCCCCAGATTTTTTTATTTTTCTTTTCTTGCTTTTCTCTTTCTTTTTTCTGGTTTTTAGTTTGCTTATTTTTGTCTGTCTCAAAATGAATATTATTATTAATACTCTTGTCCTTTTTACTATTATTCTTTATTCTTCCCCTCCAAAGTCCTATCCTAGTTTTCAGCTTTTTTCTTTTTCCCTGTTCCTGGTTGCAATTTTTTTTTGTTTGTTTGTTTCTTCTCTTCTCGTGGTTCACCCATTCCTTGTTTTTCTTTTTGTATTTTTCTCATTTTTTTCTTCATTATTCTCCTTTTCTACATTTTTTATCTTAGT